CCATCCCCAACAGTCACCCCCTGTGCCCCAGAGGATCAGCCAAACCCTCCTGGAGCTCTGGCAGCCTTGGGGCTGTGCCCACTGCCCTGGGGAGCCTGGTCAGTGCCCAACCAGCCTCTGGGGGAAGAACCTTTTCCTGAGATCCAACCTGACCCTGCCCTGACACAGCTCCAGCCATTCCCTGGGTCCTGTCCCTGGTCCCCCCAGAGCAGAGCTCAGTCCCTGCCCCTCCTCTGCCCCTGTCCAGGAAGGTGGAACTGCACTGAGGTCTCCCCTGAGTCTCCTCTGCTCCAGCTGAACACACCAAGTGCCCTCAGTGTTCTCACACAACTTCCCCTCCGGGCCCTTAATCATCTTCATTGCCCTCCTTTGGACGTTCTCTAACAGCTTCAGATCTTTCTTTTATTGCAGTGCCCCAAACTGCCCCAAAATTGCAGGTGAGGCCTCCCCAGAGCTCTGCCTTCCCATTCCGGGTCACGGGGGAGTGAAGAAGCCCAGACCTCCGGGAAGTGTCAGTGACAGCCACAGCTCACACAAGGTACTAACACACCCACAGCTGCCCAGGGGTGCTCCTGTTTCAGCGAGGCTGTGCCAGGCAGGAGCTCTCTCTGCTTCTGGCCGTGGTTTGCTCTGAGTCCCGCAGGGCAAACCCAGAGGTTCCCCTGTGAGCACACAGGCTCCATGTAGGAGATGTCATCACAGCTCCCAGGGAGCACCTTGTGGGGTCCCCCATCTTCACCAAAGGCTGGCCAGGTGCACGAAAGCTCCTTGTGTTTTGGATATTACATGTGGGAAGCTCCACACTGATCCATTAGAGAAGGCTGAATATCCACTGAGTAAGGAATCGGTTCCTTTGTTCTAAACTAGATTTTGGCCATGGCTGCACCTGCAGTGATGCCTCTTTCTGCAGGAGGCAGAGGTTTCACTCCCACTTACTCAGAGGAAATTTTGGGGAAGCAAACTGAAACAAAGGCAACTGGGATGGAAAGAGAAATGTTTTGCATTCAAGTTTTTATGTTGCAATTAAATAAAAGCAAAGAAACTGACAGTGTCCCACAGTGCACAGAATCCTTCCTGCCTCATGGAATCCAGGAGGAGTTGCAATCTCTCCCCCTGATTCCAGTTGTGTCTGAAAAGTATTACATTAAAAAGAACAAACCAAATCATTTGTCCCAAATTGAAAAGAAAACCCAAAACAACCAAAAAGCAATCAAAAATATTTTTGTCATAACTTGCCCAATTTGATTTTGCTTTGCAATCACATTGCAAAATAATTCACATGGGAAACTCCTGCCAGCCTAATTCTTACCCTTGCCCTTCTAATTAATCAGACAGTGGCCTTACAGCTTGATTCTGTTTTCTGTTCTACTTAAACTGTTTAGAAATCTGCTAATGATTCACCCTCCTGCAATCAGATGCAGCAGTCAGAGTCCTTCCTACACTTGTGCAAAGTTTGCTGTGAAGAGGAGCACAGCACAAAGAAACCATCCATGGATCCATAAAGAAAATCACTGGCAGCTGGGGAAGTACATTTGGGATCTGGCCCTGTATCTAATGCATGTCATTAGCTACTTGCAAGAGACAAACGACATGAGGGAAAGCAGTTTCTTTCCATCTGTGGAGAGCTCAGAAGATATTCTTCAACCTTTCATATTCCACTTCTATTTTGTATTAAGAATTCAAGTCTCTAAAGATCCACCTTGTAAAATTGCCTCTGAAGTGTAACGGGAGACACCATGAAATCCCGGCACTGCAAAACTCAGGGAAATGAATTTCCATCGTGGCTCTGCATAAATTTGTTCTTTGCTGAGGCTGAGCCTGGGCAGTGACTGATGTTTTTATGCAGGGCTTTGAGGCTTAGATTTCCCAAGAAGTGCAGATGCACTGCTGGGAGTTCCTTGGAAGCTGCCGTGTTTACAGGGCTCAGCCTGGCTGGGCTGTGTTTAATCCAAGTCAAGTCACAGGAGATTGTGTTCCAGCCCTCTCATCACCATCCAAACTCTGTGTTGATATATGCTACTGCAAAGAAAACATGCCCTGTTTGAGAAGGGAGGGCACAGCATCCCTTAATGCAGCAGGACTTGGTCTGAGGTCAAGCTAAGAAGTCAATCCCAGCTCTGGGTCCGAACCCGAGGGACGCATTGACAGATGGCCATGGTTGTGATGTGGCTCATGCACTGGCCCCAGGGGCAGGAGCCTGAGCTTAAAAACAGCTCTGGAAACCCACACAAGGCTTCTCACTGCTCTCTCCTCACAGCATCCCAGTCCTGGGTCCAGGATTTGGACACCCCTGGACCCAGGCAGGTGAGCCCTGAGGAAGGGAAGCAGCTCTGCTGAGGGCCCTGCCAGCAGCTTCCCAGCCTGGCAAAGGGATGGGCTGGGAGAACCACATCCTGGAAAATGATCCATGTGCTCTGAAAGCCATGGGTGCAGGCCAGGAGGACAGACACCATGGGCAGCTCCAGAGTGCCATGCGTTTCAGGCACACATCTGCTCAGGCTTGGGGGGCCTTGGGGGCCTCTGAGGGGTCACAGGATCCCCAGGGCTGGAGGGCTGCTGCCTGTAAATGCCACATTTCTAAACATGTGGCCTTTGGTGTTTGTTAAATGGTTGCTCTATGACCACGAAGGTTTTCTGTGACCACAGCTGGCCAGTGGTTGTGGTGTACACCTCGAAAGGGTGTTCCTGTCACCCAGTTGTTGCCTGTCCTGTGACAAGCAGAGCCTGTTGGTGCTCAGCAGGCAGGAAAAACTCCAGAATATTGTAGTACTGGGTCTAAGGCTGGCAGAGATGTGTTGGCTGTGATAAGATGAATGTCAGTCCTGCAGACTGAGCAGTCTGCCCTGGGACACAGGCAAGAAGATAAACCGCTGCTGTAACATTAGCCATGGACAAGGCTTTGCAGGGATTTTGTTTGTTGCAGTTACAGAGAGCAAGCAGGGACCCCACACAATTTTTTCGTCAGAGACCTCATTTTGAATTGAGTGGAGAGGGGCTCTGAGTCACAGCTGGAGAGGCTGCAGTTGTGATGCCTCAACACTTCATTCCTTTCCACTGGTTTTCAAACTGTTTCCTTCTGTAGGAGGTCATAGATGACAAGAGAGGGAACACTGACAATGTTGTCTGGTACTTCTATTGCCCCACAGCCCACCTTGCATCCTTCACATGCCAAATGCACACTTCTAAGGGTTACTCCTGCCACACAGTGCCTTGCAAGCTCTGGTGCTGCCTAAGCAACAACACTTGTTAAGTGTATTCATCCACTTCAGCCTCCTTCACCTCCACCCAAAAGCTCTCGGGTTTCAGCATCTTCCACAGCCAAATGATGATGGATTTGGGCAAAGACCAAGCTTTTGGAGACAATGGGGCAAAAAGCCCTCCAAAAAAGGCTTTTACACCCACCCAACCCAACCTCATGGATAGTCACAGGATGCCAACATGTAAATCCTTTTATTTTGGCCTTGATTTTCTTTTGATCCATCTTCATCCCTTAAAAAACCTCTAAATTGGGTTAAAAATAAAGAAATTGAACAAAGACATCTAAAGCCCCACCATTTTACTGGGATTCTGGGTGGGAAATTGCGGGTTCAGGGGAATATTTGGTACAGGCCTGAAGGAGTGGTCTGAAACTGTGTCAGGGTAGGTTTAAGCTGGATATTAAGAAAAGGTTCTTCCCTCAGAGGGTGATTGGGCACTGAACAGGCTCCCCAGAGCAATGGTCATGGCTCCAAGGCTGCCAGAGCTCCAGGAGTGTTTGGATAACATTCTCCGGCACATTGTGGGATTGTCTGGAAAACCTCTGTTTTACAGCTTCCTTCTTTCAGCTAGAGCCCTCCAGAATCACCATCATTTCTCTTGCTGCATCAACAGCTCTCCATCCATTTCAAGTTCAATTGAAAGCACATTTTCCCCCTTGCTTGTGTTCCTAAATTATATCCCTAACTCATTTCAAAATATCAATTCAGAAACTTGGCAAGGTGATTATTAATAACAGCTCTGTTCTTCTCCGGAGGAGAAATAACACTGGAAACATGTGAAATGTGTACACAGCTGTCACTCTCACTCTCCTCTTTTGCCAAACACTCTGTTCTTTACAGGAAATAAAACCAACCCTATATCCACTATTAAGTGGCTGAGGCTGTGTAATCAGCACAGAACCATGGAATTAGGGCAGTGTTCCTTCACATGTCCTGAAACCCAAGGTGGCACCACTGTCTGCCAGGAGTTCGTGCCTGGCTATAGGTGGATCAGCAGCAGATGCAGAGCAGAGTTTTTAGAGCTGGGCCTGGGCAGTTCCTTCATTCACTTGTGCAGAGCTCATCGTGTCAAAATGCTTCAGGAAAATATTCTTGATTGGACTCCAAGATATCACATGGGCTTCCCAGGAACCCGGAGCTGCTGGAAAGCACCGAACTGGCAGTGAATTAGAATCACAGAATCACAGACTGGTCTGGGTTGGAAGGGACCTTAAATATCATCCAGTCCCACCCCCTGCCATGGGCAGGGACACCTTCCACTAGCCCAGGTTGCTCCAAGCCCCATCCAACCTGGCCTTGGACACTTCCAGGGATGAGGCAGCTACAGCTTCTCTGGGTAACCTGTGCCAGGGCCTCCCCACCCTCACAGGGAAGAATTTCTTTCCAATATTCCATCTAACCCTGTCCTCTGTCAATGTGAAGCCATTCTTCTTGTCCTGTCCATCCATGCCCTTGTCTAAAGTCCCTCTCCAGCTCTCTTGTAAGCCCTTTTTGGGTACTGGAGTAAAGTACATGTTTTCTCCTTTTTTATTTTTCTTTTCTCTACCTGTACTTATAAAACTTATAGTAAAGTCCTGAAGACTTTTTCATTGCCCTTAGTGCCACAGGGTGTGCAGTGAAGAAGCTCTGGGGTCTCTCCTGAAGAAAACCCACATTCCTGTGTACATGGGGAGCTGAGCTCAGTGATCCAGGTGTCCCCCCTTACCCCATGTCCCCACCCCATCCCTGCAGGAAACAGGGTTGTGCTTCCCCAGTGCACACCAGGGAAGCTTTCCCAAGCCCTCTGGAGGATGAGCAGGGAATGAAGTCCTTTGGGAATAGAATGATGGGGTGCCTGTAACATCTGTGGTAGAGGGACAACAGTAAGGAGTTCCCAAGGAAGGGAGTGGGGAAAAATTCCTCCAGGGATGGATTCATGCACAGAAGGCAAGTTGTGCTTTCAGTCCTGCAAGATAAGGAAGACCCAGCATGGAATGTCTTTGTTTTGAGAGGAGGATAAAGTGTAAAAAAGCTATAGAGGTATCCAGGAGCTTTTAACTCTGAGGATTTGCCCTTGGAGTTATAAGGCCAGTCTTCTTTAGGGACTTAGAGGGAAATAAGTGCTCACACAGTCAAGGTGCTGCTCACCTTAATCAGCAGTGCCAGTGGCTTTGTCTATCATGGGCCCAACAGCCCCTTCCTGGCACCTCAGCCTCTGGGGTGCTGAGGATCTGCTTAAAGTATCTTGAAAACCTGGCATAAAAAGATAAATTAAAAAAATGTATAAATTTAACATCTCATATCAGCAAGAGCTTGGGAGGAGAAAGTCTGGTGGCTTTGAGAGCCTTTGGCTCTGTTCTGTGACTGCCAGTCCTGGTATGGCTGATACAGACCTTCTCTCTCTGCCTTCCTTGTGCAATGCTGTATCCCAATTCCAGCTCCTTGGCTCTGCTCCAGGTCTCTAGCTCCTACAGAAGTGTGTTTCTGTAAGAAGTGGTGCTCTTCAAGTGTTTAAAGGGAATCAGATATCATTCAGAAGTTGGCCAAACTGCCTGTTTTCTGCCGGAGAGGGGATAAGTTTCCACTTGAATGGAGTGGGAGTAAAAGCTGCCCCACTGAGAGACCCCCAAAGCAAAGCTTTGGAACCAGCCAGAGGATGGGAAAGGCCTGGGCTGACAGTGAAGTCACTGAACCTCCAGTACCTCCACAGAACCTTTGGAACTCACCCCAGAACCTCCAGACATCAGTCACTGCTCCGTGGCCCTTCCTGGGGCTGCCCAGGCTGGGTCCATCATGGAGGCTGGGTTGTTACTGGACCCACCCACACCACCACAGACACAAAGCTGGCAGGTCCTGTGGGCCATTAGCATCGCTCCTCATGCTCCCTTTGCCATGGGTTTCCTGCAGCACCACGGTGCCTTTCCCACCCCGAGTCCCCGCACACAAAGTCTGTGTGCTGTGCAGTGTGGGGCCTGGGTTCTGCAGCACCTGCAGGAGGACACCAGGGTGATCCACCACCTCCTACCCGGTGCCAAGGGCTGTGCCCTGTCAAAAAACCCGCCAGGATGAGGATTTCACACATCTGTGAGCTGGCCCAGCGTGCCAGGTGCTGGTTTCACCTCGTGCCCTGAGCCTTCACGTGCATATGGCAGAGAGCACCAGCAGAACTCACAGCCCTCTTTCTGAGAACCTTTCTGCAGGACACTTTTGCCACGTCATTTGTCCTAAAAGCCATGTTCACCCTTCCTCTGCCTTGGTGGGACCAGCCCTGGATTTTGGAAAGCACTGCATTAACCTATTTCCTACAGGTTAATTTACCTGGTTTACATTCAGGTACCACCCTAGAATAGTGCTACTCATGGAGGGCAGTCAAATTACACCTAAAAAAACATGCAGATTTGTGAAATTAGAGCTTCTGGTTCCAAAATATCAGTGCACCCCTTTTGGCTTCGGAATGCTGCACTGGGATGTCCTCAAACTGGAAAAACGCCCGAAAACTGAAGGTTCGATGCCCCATCACATGAGTTTGATGCCACCTCGTGGTAGCTCCATGTCTTGATACACAAGGGAAGGGTTTCACTCTCAAGGTGTTCCATGTCCCGATTTGCAACGGAAAGGTTTCACTTTTGGGATGTTCCATGTCGTGATTTGCAAGGGAAGGGTTTTGCTTTTAGGATGTTTCCCAAGCATGTTCCTTCTGACAGAGAAACACAGTTTGGAGAAAGGATGGGTATCCACAGATGTCCAGCTCTTCAGTGCTGATTTGCAGCCCCACAGCACTGTTAATAAATGTTAGTATGAATGTAAAACACAGGGATTGCATCAGTAATGCTATGTGGGAATACCTAAAGGAACGGGATGTGGCCACCGGAGAATATGTTGAGATGTCCTGATATAAAACTTTTCCCTCATTGTCTTGGGATCTCAGACAAACACTTCCACCCAATTTGCAGCTGGATTTGTGGATTTGGAGGAGCTCTTTCCTCCCCTGGAGAGCAGCTCCTTCTCCAGACCAGTTATCATCACATTATACTAAAGGTGTAATAAAGAGCTGAATTATCTCACCTTTCAAAAGTGGGATGGGAAACGTTACAAAGACTGGTGGGACTATTTCAATTGAGAATTGGTTCTTTCCAGAGAAAATTTTCTCTCCTCCCTTCTCAGCACTTCAGCCTTATGACAACAGGGAGAGATTTGCCAGGAGCATTCATGGAGTATTTGAGCCTTCCATGCAGTAAATAGTCCAGATTACTTTCATTTGCCCTTCAAACTGCAGGAAAGATGCCGCTTTAAAACTGCCAGAATACATTTTATGGCCACTATAATATAAAATTCCCATGTCCACTGATTGAATAATCACAGACTAAATAAAAATTGTAGTGAAATGACTCCCTATTTCCCAAGCCACAGTTACTCTTGTATCCACAAGGCCCTGCAGAAATGCTGGATCCTGAAGGCAGCATAGCTGGGACCTTTCTGCAGCCGAGCTAATTACTCTCAGGTTTCAGCTTGGCTAACTAACTTTCATGTGGCCCTATGACATCACAGGCATTTTCTTTTCAATTCTGGAACTATCTTGGACAGTGTTGGTTAGAAAAACCTCTGCAAACCAAACAGCTCTGCCGTGAAATGAGACAGATGTCACTTTACTGTCTAGATAAATGATATTACTTTTGCAACAGCATGTAATGCAACCTCCAGCGTTCAGGGGCTTGTCTGAAATTTCTTCACCAGACTGAAAACTCTGAATGCCTAAACTTAGCTGTTTGTTAACCTGTTCACTAACTGAAGAGTTTAGAGGGAATGTTACATTCATATAGGTTTATATCACTGTCTCCAAGTCCTATTTGACCGAAATTCTTCATCTTTGCTCTTTCCTTAAAATCTGTACATTTGAGTCTGATTGCAATTCATTAACAAATTAGAGTGGAAAAAATGGACTAGTTCTAAAGAGACTTTCATAGATTTCTGAAGAGGCTTTAAAAACTGAAGTGCCTGAGGCAGTGAGCAAATGATAATCTGTGTATCCTCTTTCTCTCACATGGACTTGAGAAAGTGCAAGCTGATATTTGCCTGGCTAAAAGGTATTTTCAGCAAATTTTCAGTTTTTCTGGGGGAATGTTGCTGTTGAATGTATTGCTTAGATGGCCTCAGGCCCTTGGATCTCTTCAGAAGAGGGATCAACACCTTGAGTGAAACTGGAGCTCGTGTAGAGCATCTCCAATGCCTGGAGAATCCCAGGTTTGGCAGAACAGCGAGTAAGTGTTACCCTTGTGTTGAGTCTTGTTTAAATCGCAGCAATCAAGGCAAACCAAACATCTTTGTTGTATTTACCCTCGTTTCCACAGCCAGAAGTGAAGGGAGCAAGGAGGTTTTCTGACTGAGGAGAAATGCAACCCTCTACCTGCTCTTTAGTGGAGAAAGAGACAGGATAAATAAGGGAAATCAGAGAATCCCAGAATGGTTTGGGAGGGACATTAAAGCTCATCTCAATCCAATCCCCTGCCACAGGCAGGGACACCTTCCACTAGCCCAGGTTGCTCCAAGCTCTGTCCAACCTGGCCTTGGACACTTCCAGGGACGGAGCAGCCACCGCTTCTCTGGGCAACCTGTGCCAGGGCCTCAACACCCTCTCAGCCAAGAATTTCTTCGTAATACCTAATCTGAACCTGGCCTTCACCAGCTTAAGGATATTCCCCCTTGTCCTATCACTACATGCTCTTGTGAAAAGTCCCTCTCCAAGGGAAATCCAGCTCAGAAGCTGGAAACAGTGATCAAATAATGCACCTTCTCCTCTGCAGGGACTGACTCTTCACTGTAATGGCTTTCCAAGGAGGTGCACCTGTGTTTAGCATGGTGAATCCAACCTGATCTTTTGGAGAAGTGGCCATGTTTAGGTAATGTGTGTCCTACTACACACCCGTCAGCCTCTGATCTGGTTTCTCTATCAGTGACAAAACCATCTGGATGTCCTGCCATCCTATCCAGAGGGGACAAACCAGGCCAAGGTTTACTGCTTCTGAAAACCTCACCGCCCGCCTCCCTGTGTCCACCCACGTTTTGGCTATACCTGTCCTTCAAACGTAACCCTGCCATGTCTGGAAAGAACAGGATCTACCTGAGGGGACTCTGCACCGCAGCTCACTCAAGGAGCATCTTCTGCTGCAATCTGAGCTCTCTGTGGGGAGCTGATTTCTCATGTTTTGTTTGCTGGTTCAGCTTATTTTTAGTTGACAGAAACAGCTGTGAGGCAGAGAAGAAATAAGGAACAAAAGCCGACAGCATGATTAACTTTTTAACTCAAAATGCTTCTCAATTAAAAGAAGCTAAATATTCCCTGTGCTCCTGGTGCTGCTTTTCCCTGTCAGCAGCTGTCGTGCTCCCCACGAACATGACGCAGTTGCACAGATGGAGGAGGTGGAGCTGCATGGGAGAAAGGCTGATCACAGCTGCTGGTCCACCGTGGTCACCTCACGGGAGTGGGGGACAATGCATGGTGTGCCAGCCCAGCACAGACAGAAGAAGCCACTAGGCCATCTGAGCTCAGCCTCCCTGACCATAAAATGAGATCCCTGGTGAGATTCCAAAGCTATCCCAATCCCAAGGGTGTGGGTGCAGAGAAGCAACCAGAACTTCATGTCCTACCACTGAAAAGCGCTTGTGAAATCCTCTAACAAGTCTCACAAACGCTACCAGGAAGAAACCTCAGCTCCGCTGGGATTGACAATGTTTATTCAACGTACAGCACTGGGAAACTTTTCAGCCACCACAAACTGGGGCACAGTCATTTTATGTCCCACAAAGTAACAGTTCCTCTTCTCACTGCTTTACATCTTGTGAGACTTAAGACTCACAAAATTCTCCAGATGGGCAGATTCAATATCTGATTTTGCTTTGCCTTCCAGCCTTTTCAATACACCTCCTTATGCCACTCTGCTCTTTGCCTTGGGAGGATCAGGGCTTTCCTCTAAATCCTGCACTCAGGGTTGAACTGTGACCCCCAATTGTCTGCCTAATCCCCCCTGGCCCTCACACAAGGCCAGGAAGGGGCAGGAGCAGGGCAGTGTGCTGGGGAGGGACAGGGCGATGCTGTGGCTCAGGACATCAGGAATGGCCTCTGTCTGGGCTGCTTTGCTCCTTCCTCAAGCAGGAATCCCAGAAAGGTTCAGCTTGGAAGGGACCACAGTGGGGGATCTGGTCCCACCTCCCTGCTCAAGCAGGGTTATCCCAGAGCACACGGCACAGGATCGTGTCCAGGAGGTTCTGGAATATCCCCAGAGACACTCCACCCCCTCCCTGGGCAGCCTGTTCAGTGCTCAGTCACTGCACAGGAAAGAAGTTCTTCCTCATGTCCAGGTGGAACTTTCTGGGCATAAGTTCCTGCCTGTTCCTCTTATCCTATTGCTGCCCCCCCACTGAGCAGAGCCTGGTCCATCCTCTGCCCCCTCCCTGCAGATCCTGACACACACTGGGGAGGTCCCCTCTCAGTGTCTCCTCTCGAGACTAAACAGCCCCAGCTCCCTCAGCCTTTCCTTGTCCCATCAGCATCTTCCCTCTCTGGAGCTGCCAGAGCAGGTCCAGAGGAGGCCACGGAGATGCTCCCAGGGCTGGAGCCCCTCTGCTCTGGAGCCAGGCTGGGAGAGCTGGGGGGGGTTCATCTGGAAAAGAGAAG